TTGAATTATACAACTTCTGTTCTTAGCAATATCGCATTCTGTAGGAGTTTTTTTGCATCTGGAAATTCCCTTGACACCCTTCTCATCCAAAAGAGTTTTTTTTTTTCAATATTAAAATAAATCCTGTAACAGAAACTTTCACATTGTTTTTAATAGTGAATGATGAACAATTTAAGAAATACAGAAAACATATAATGATTACCTAAACTCAGTTTTCATTCTCACTCTTGTTTTCTTCCAGTGCAAAGAAAACTGATTTCTTGTGTGTTCCCCTCTCACTTTTAAAATTCGTAAGTATCGTAACTTCCCCAAACACATTTTAAAGTCTAGAAAAACAGTCAAAGCAATACTGTTTCTGAAGTGGAGAGAGAAGGAGAACATATAAATGCTTCCACTAAAGCTCTCCTATGCAGTATACATTAAACAAAAAGCAGTTCAACATACTATGAAGCACATCTGAAATGCTTTGACACCAAAGCACACAGCATGAGAAACCAGAGACAGGCGAGGCAGGAGATGCAAAGGGGTAGTGCTGTGAAGGAGGAGCTGCACTGAAGAGAGCAGCTAGTTGGAAATGACACAGCTGAGAGCCACTGGGTAGGGACGAATGATAAGCAAATAAAGGGGAAGGTCCAGAGGGAATGGCATGGAGCTGTAACAGGGGATGGTCAGGCTGGATGTAAGGAGAAGGCGGTGGGCATGGGTCAGGCTTCCCAGGACAGTGGGCATGGCCCCCAGCTGCTGCAGTTCAGGAAGCGTCTGGACAATGCTCTCAGTCATATGGTGTGATTTTTGGGTGGCCCTGTGTGAAGCCGGGAGTTAGACTCACTGATCCTTATGGATTCCTTCTCCCTTGCCATATTCTATGATTCCACAGTTCTTTTTGGTACAAGGGTAGGATAAAAGTACAATTTGCTTTGATGATTTGAACGGAGACTTGCTACTTCAAATGGCTTCATAAACAAAATAGAAAAGAGAAGTGAAAAGCTGTAAGTATGCAGCAAAATAATTAGCTACATTTTTAATGTAGCTGGGTCTTATCTGCTGACATGAATGTATTAATTTCAATTTTATGTTGTCTTTTTTTGTGGAAGCCTAAGTGTCAGTGTATATCAATGCCTCATATTTATAAATAAAATTTATATGAAAACATTTGCATGCATGAAACAAATCCAAATTATTTTTTTGTATACGTACCTGTCTTTCCCAGTTTCTACTGACACAGAGCATCTCTCTCATCCTCACCAATCCTATTTCTTTCTATTAACACATTAAGAAAATTTAAGTATGCTGTTTACAAACATTTGTACCTCCTCTTAACTGTTACTAAGTGGTATTCAAATAAGATATTAACAAATAAAATCAGATTTTTCAGAAAGGCATAATGTATGTGTTGTAGAGCCATCATTGAAGACTAGAGGTAAAAAAAACTAAAATAAGTTATGGATGAAGATAGTTTTAAAACAAAGGATGATAGAGAGAAATGTTCCAATTTTTTAACTAAGGAGAAACTTCCCACCATGAAACACTTTTCACACAGAAAGACATCAGAAACTACATTCAGTTACTGAAAGAGTTCTGCTCCCCTTTTACTTAATTATAGGAAGTAACAACAGAAAGAGAAAGCATACAATTTTTGTGCTGAGTTCTGCACAGAACCACAGTGTTACAAAGAAAATCATAGAATCATAGAATGGCCTGGGTTGAAAAGGACCACAATGGTCACCAAGTTTCAACCCCCCTGCTATCCCTGCAGGGTTGCCAACCACCAGACCAGGCTCAGATCCAGCCTGGCCTTGAGTGCCTCCAGGGATGGGGCATCCACAGCCTCCTCAGGCAACCTGTTCCAGTGTGTCACCACCCTCTGTGTGAAAAACTTCCTCCTAATTTCTAACCTAGTCCTCCCATGTCTCAGTTTAAACCATTCTCCCCTGTCCTATCACTGTCCACCCTTGTAAACAGCTGTTTACCTTCCTGTTTATACACTCCCTTCAAGTACTAGAAGCTGTAATGAGGTCTCCCCGGAGCCTTCTCTTCTCCAAGCTAAACAATCCCAGTTCCCTCAATTTTTCCTCACAGGAGAGGTGCTCCAGGCCTGTGATCATCTTAGTGGCCCTAAAAATAAGCAAAAGCACTGAGTTATCACATCACTTTCTGTGCACTTCCTCTAGTTCACTGAGTCTCAATTTCCTTATGAGATTGAGGGAAGTAGGTAGGAAAAATGTTAAGATTTTCTATCTCCCCCAGCTTGCATAAGGCAGATAAGGCTTTTTTCATGGTGGAGAGAGAACTGGATTTAAATTTCTAAAGGAAAGAGATTGAATCTTTCTCCATCATATTCTGTGCAGCTGTCTGTACACAAAACTAAAGCATAAAAGAAGGTACTGTTGACATACTCACTCTTGCTCTGCTGTCCATCATGAATTGCACTTTTGTGAGACTTGAGTTGCTAGCACAGACAAGGTATGCTCTATGAATGCCTCCTTTGTTAGCAGGCTTAGAAGCAACAATTCATCACTGTATATTAACCAGGATTCAATTAATTGCTGTTTAAACTTTACAGTGGTGCAGAACATCAGTGCATATTCAGAAGCAAAATTTGTCATATTTGGGAAATCTCTATTAAAATTAGTTGCTTGCTAGACAGTGCTGGACCGGGTCTTTTCAGGTTCCCATTTTAAAACAGATGGAATGCAACACAGTACACAAGTTCCAAAACATCACTACTTATCTGTGATATTTTAATACGTGACTGCTAAATTCTAATAACACGTTTTTACTACATCTTTTAGTATGTAACTTATAAAAAAGAAAACAACATGGAGAAAACTTTCATATGACCACAATCATGTTAATTATCACCTGATTTAAAATCTTTTCATTTATTGCATACTCATGACAGGTAATGGAGTAGAATAAAATAGAAGTAGTTTGTCAGAAAAAGAAGCAACACAGTTTGCTGCTGAGTTTCAGATGTACTAGATGGTAGCAGAAAGTTACTGACATGTCTTCGTGGCTAAATTTCTCTTTTCAGCTCCACTGCCCTGTCCTCCTTTCCCTCAGGGCAGCTAGAAGTAAGCACTGTAAGAAAATGTTCAACTTACCCATGAAGCCTAAGATTGAAGTAGTCCTATCTGATTTCTTTCTCTAAATTACACACACAAATTTCCTCTACTCATTCTTTACTTTCTAAAGACATAAGGCATGACGAATTAATAGTTTGAAGACAGAAGCTGAAAAGGACTAAAACATTCTCAGTGGTTATTAAGGGTGGTGCAAGTACAGGCTGATCAAGAAAAGTTCTGCTAAGACGAAATACAGTCATCAAAAATAGCCTGTTAGGCTGAAAGAAGCAAGGAAAAATTAATCACTGAACATACCCTAAAATTTCACGATTTTAGTAGGAATGGTAAAATGATAAAATGATAAAATACACTGTATTTTCAAGGAGGTGAAGACATATCTTCAGAGCATGATTAGGATGCGTAAAACAAAAGAATTTTCAAACCACTGTCTGGGTAGCAGTAAAACGTTCTGAATGAATCCTTCAGCAGAACTCACGATGAGTCAGTTGCTTAGCATTTTAAGCTGAAAGCATTACAAATTTGAAACATCTATAAATAACACAAAGTATGGAAACGAGACAAGCTTAGTAAGTTGAATATTGAGACGATCTGAACAGCTTGACCTGAATTTCCTGGACAGTATGCCCTCAATACTGGTGGAATGAAGGACCAATCAAGTAAAAAAAAAATGCAAAGAAACAACTGCATTTTCTGTCTTTTTCTTCACATGGACATAATTGCAAAGGAACAATGTCTCATGACAATAACACCAGAAGAAAATATATCCTTAAAATCAACTACATAATTCATCTTTATTGTCTGCTGAAAAGAGTCCAGTCACCAATTCCATTATCGTTAAGCAAATTGTAGCTCTGACTTCAGAGGTAAAGAAGAGACAGGGAGAAAGTATCGACTGAAATCACAACTCAACAATAGCAATTAAAAAAAGCATTTGAAATGAAACTGTACAATCACTGTATATGGGTAATAGGATAAGACTGTTTCTTACACAAAGTTCATATCAATGCTATGATCAAGGTATTTTTAACTCTCCTCTCTACCTGAACTCCAGCACTAGTCCTCAGAATTAAATACTTAAATAAGTGCTTCCAAAATACTTACCACCCATTAGGAAACAAACAGGTATAAAGAAGGTTTCCCAAAACTGCAAAAAACGATGGCCAAGGCCAGGTGGGGGTCAGGAGGATACATTTGTTTTCAAGGTACTACCCTTTCCCCAGAAAGGCAGATATATTAATTTAAATGAAAATTATTTAACCATGGAATTTTAAACAAAATCCAAACGCAAGATTTCATAACATAAAGCCCTAAGCAAATATTAGTTATTCTGTAACTTTATTAAATTTAATTCATCATGAATCCAGAAAAAGCCAGTGAACTGGCCTTCCACATTAAAAACATTAAAAAAAAAAAAAAAAAAAACCAGCCCAGCAACAATTTTTTGGCAAGATAAAATATCTTTTTCCTTTATCTTTTCTGTTTTTAAATTCCTTATACTCAGTCCACAAGCAGCATGAAAACAGAACATGCAATCTAAAGTATCAGACAGCACATAAAAGTGGATCATTAATTAAATTACCACTTTTGTACACTGACAGTTACTGGTACCTTTTTTCCTAGTCTGACCTTCAACAAAATTGCTCAGCTTTCAGATCAAGACATCAAATTTCACTTACAGAATCGCTTAATAATTAGTTATTTAATATAACTTTGAAAATAAAAATGCTAATCCCTTGCAATGAGTACAACATTTCTTAATTAACTTTCAGAAACCAATATGGGCAGTCAGTTAAAAAACAGGCCAACCATCCCTAATGGAGACATGAAAATAAGCTGAAGTTTACAGACAGAAATCAAGTACCAAGAGCATATGTTGATTAATTCTACACGGTAACAACAGCTAAAATTTCATACCTGCACCTGGAATGATTGCCAACTTTGTTTCAACCAGGCCCATCTTAGCAGAAGAGGCTAAAAAAATAAAAGTCTGAGTTGTTGCTACAGTCTACAGAAAAACAATTTGCAAAATATGTAATAATGTCCTGCAAGAATGTTAATTTGTTACATTTCCTTAATAAAGAACAACAAATCAAAACATAAGCACCGTCTTATAAAAAATCTTCTAATAGATTTAATTGATCTGCCTTTATTAAATATCCCAGCAAGGCAAGTTCTGTACAGTAATAATTTTCACATTAGAAGTATGTTATTAAAGCAAAAAATAATAAAATAAAATGCAGTAAAAAATACTCTATCAGTGCTCAGAGTTATGAAATTAATTCCTAGCAAGTATTTCAGCCAAGCTTCTGCTAAATCTCTTTTAAGTAATTGTTCATAAACAATGTTGGAAAACAAAGTCATTTTTATAGACTATTGTCCAGGCAAAGGGTAGTTAAGCCTTCTGCAATACTAATAATCCTTCATTTAATTAACAGTTTCAAATTTACCTGCCACTCTTATGTCACAGGCTAAAGCAAGTTCCAGGCCACCACCCAACGCAGTTCCATCGATTGCAGCAATAGTTGGTACTGGAAGATTAGCTGGGGAAAAACAAAGTACCACTTACCATCAGTTTCATAAAGAACATCTCTGAAATACCACTACATTTTCTTCACATTACAGGAAAAAATTACAGTCATACCACAGGGGAAAAAAACCAACAAAACAGTTCATAAAATAAAACAAGGAACCGCTGCCAGAGCTGAGCTATGGGCAACAATGGGTGCATTCTGGGAGAGCAGATATAGGAGAGAGAGAACTGCTACACAACAGCAGCTTGGAGAGAAGGATGAGAAATGGAAGACAAGTGGTCCTGGAGGCACCCAGGTCAGTGCAGGAGAAAGGCAAAAGGAGCTCCAGGCAAAGAGCAGAAGTTCCCTGCAGCCTGTGGGTACCATATGGAGTAGATCTCCCCATGCAGCCATGGAGGAGCCCACAGAGCAGCAGGGGATGAGGCCTGGAGGGCACACAGCCTATGGGCACTCCTGCAGGAGTATTCGGGATGGGAGCTGCAGCCTGGGGGAGCCTCCTGCAGTGGGGCAGGAAGACTGGGTGAGATGCTGCCTATGGGGACCCATGTGGAGCAGTGCCTGAAGGGTGGGCTCCACAGTACGAAGCTGTATTGGAGCAGTGCTAGCAGAGCTACAGCCTGTGGGAAGCCCAAGAAGGATCAGTTTGGGAAGAACAGTATCCAATGGGGGGGTCGCACGTGGAGAAGGGACAGATAGTGACCATGGAGGAGTGGCAGAGACAAAGCATTATGGACTGACCGCAGCTCCCACTCCCCATTCCACTACGCTGCTCAGAGAAAGGGGGTAGAAAAGGGTGAATAATTACCTCATAACAAAAACTGAATAACCCAGTGGACTTCACTAAATTGTTAGCACTCAAATTTTAAGAATACTAAATTACTAAAAAGGATACAAGAATAAATAAGCAGCATTAAGCAGCAGTTTAAGAGAAAACAGCACTCACAAGGATTCCAATGAACTACTGTAGCGTGTAACATGAAGAACACCAAATAATAAGCCAGAGGGGAGGTAAAGCCCCCGGCAAGGTCACAAGACCAGGCTCTCCTCCCTGCTGCTCCACCCGATAGTATGTCTTGCCTCAGCATCAGAGTAAGGCTTTCAGCTTTCGGATACTCCTTCTCTCATTATATTTGATTTATTAGCTCCAATTCTAATTGTATTGTATTATATTGTACTATAGAGTGTTGTCTTGCATTTCAATATCCTATTTAGTAAATCAGTTTGATTCTCCTCAGATTGTTGCTGCTATCCTCTTTCCTTTATCCCCCTTTCTGGAGGTATGGATCTCCTTTTTCCTCCGCTCCATTGGTCACAGAATGGGGCCAAATCAGCCCCTAAATCATTGACAAGCCCTCTGATCATCTTTGTGGCCATTCTCTAGACCCACTTAAACCGCTCAATGTCTTTCTTGTTCTGGGACCCAACACAGCTGGATGCAGTACTCCACTACTGGGATTGGAGATGCCTGCGATGAAGATGCAGATGGAGATGGCATTCCCAATGAGCAGGATAACTGTGTCTTGACCCCCAGTGTTAACCAGAGAAATAGTGATGAAGATATCTCTGGAGATGCCTGTGACAACGCTGCAGTGTCCTGAATAATGACCAGAGGGACACAGATGGTGATGGGAAAGGAGATGCTTGTGATGATGACATGGATGGAGACGGTATTAAGAACCACGAGCAGAGGGGCAGAATCAGCTCCTTGACCTGCTGTTCACACTTCTCTTGACAGCCCACACTCCATCTGCAAGCGCACACTGCTGGTTCATGCTGAATCTTTCATCAACCAATAGCCTTCTCCTCAGAGCTTCTCTCAAGCCATTCTCCACCCAACCCGTATCTGTACTTGGGATCGTCTTGATGCAAATGCAGGACCTTGCAATTGTCTTGTTGAACTTCATGAGGTTGCTGTGGACTCATCAGTCAAAGTGTCAAATATCCAGGTCCCTCTGGATGGCATCTGTTCCTCTAGCATGTTAACTGCACCACTCAGCTTGGTATCATCTGCAAACTCGCTGAGTTTTTGCATCCCACTGTCCACGTCATCTATAAAGATGTTAAATAACACTGGTCCGAGCAGTGACCCCTGAGGAACCACTCATCACCAGTCTGTTCTTGGACTATGAACCGCTGACCACAACTCTCCGAGTGCGGCCATCCTGCCAGTTCCTTATCCAGCAAGAGGTCCATCCATCACATCCATTTTTCTCCACTGTGGTGACCAGGATGTCATGTGGGACAGTGTCAAATGCTTGGCACAAGCCCAGGTACATGACATCAGTTGCTCTTCTCTTATTCACTGACACTGTAACTCCATCATAAAAGGTCACCAGGTTTGACAAGCATGACTTGCCCTTGGTGAAGCCACGTTGGTTACCACCAACTACCTCATCTTTACTTTCCACATAGGGTCTTCAGGAGGATCTGCTCTGTAATCTTGCCAGGCACAGAGATGAGACTGACTGCCCTGTAGCTCCCTGGATGTTTTTTTTTCCCCTTTTTGAAAATGGGGGTTATGCTTCTCCTTTTCCCATCAGTGGGAACTTCACCAGACTGCCACGACTCTTAAGTATGATGAACAGCAGCTTGGTGACTTCATCTGCCTGTTCCATCATTGGGTCCCAGGGACTTGTGCACCTCCAGGTTCTTTAGATGGTCTCAGACTCAACCTTCACTTGCAGCAGGCAGATCTTCCTTCTCCAAGTTCTTACCTTTGCTTTCTCTAGAAAAGAAGAGCAGTGTGGCTACAATCCTTGCTGGAGAAGACTGAAGCAAGGAAGTCACTGAACACCTTGGTTTTCTCCTTATCCCTGTGATCTCCAGGTCTCCAGTTTCCTTCCAGAGAGGACCCACATCTTCCCTGGCCTTCCTTTTATCACTGATATACCTGTACAATTTTTTCTTGTTCCCCTTTATGTCCTTGCTAGATTTAATTCTGTCCAGGTTTTAGCTTTCCTAACCTGATCCCAGGCCTCTCGGACAACTACTTTGCTGTCCTCCCAGATAACCTGTTCTTGCTTCCACTCCCTATAGAACTTCATTTCTGAGCTTAAGTAAGTCTGGAAGCTCCTTGTTGATTCACAGAAGCCTCCTGACATTCTTGTCTGCCTTCCTTTTTCTCAGAATGCACTGTTTCTGAGCTTAGAGGACATGGTCTGTACTGACTGGTTTTCTTGGGTCTCTTTTCCCTTGAGGACTTTATCCTATGTCACCCTGCCAAGCTGTTCCCTGAAGAATCCAGAATAACACAAACACAGAATTGCAGGGGCTGAAAGGAACCTCTAGAGATCACTGAGTCCAGTCCCCCTGGAAAGCAGGCTACCTGCAGCAGAACTTGGTTTGTATTTTATATCACTGTCACCAGCGAAAGACACCATCCACTGTGCTCATATCCACTGTCTGGTCACAATAAACATTCATAAAGTGTTGATAAATTTCAATGAGAACCTTTGTCTTCATGTGAAGAAATTCAGTGACACTCACTGCATCAAACACGCTTCCATATTAGTTACCACTTGGCAGATTGCCCCTCTGCTGCCATCTGTCACGTGGCAACAATACGTAATGGAATATCGGCAAGATGGTTCAACTTCGACTGCCATACCATCAATACTCATCTCTGATATTATGGATCAGCATAATAAAATAAGCGGCATTACTTTTGGGGACTGTCTGAACAGAATTTACTTTCTGTTTGGAGATGATTTTATGATGAATGAAAGACCAGCATAAAATACTAAAGTTAGATCCAGAAAATTCAACCAAGAAACAGTTTCTCAGGTGTGTGTCACAAACAAAGTTCACACAAACAATTCAGATGTTGCAGACACTAACATTCTCAAAGGAAAATGCAAGTTGTCTGCATTCTTGTGATCTTATGTAACTATAGAGTCCTCTAAATAATTCATTAAAAACTCTGTACAAAACTACAGTCATAAAAGGTAACCTCTGAAAAGAAATACTATTGCATTTGATACTTTCTCATTAACTACTGAACAATCTTTTTCTCTGCAAAGCTTTTGATGTTGTCCCACATCACATTCCTATCTCAAAATTGGAAAGATACAGATTTGAAGACTGCACTATTCAATGGATAATGAATTCTTTGATGGTGCCAGGCTGTGGTCAATGCTGTATGTCCACATGGAGACTATTGAGGAATGGTATTACCCAGGGGTCCATCTTGGGACCAGTGGTCTTCAACAACATTATCAGTGAGATTAACAGTGGGATCAAGTGTATTCTCAGCAAGTTTGCTATTAAAACCAAGCTCAATGCTGAAGTCAACACAATCATCCAAAGAGACCTGAACAAGCTTCAAAAGTGGGCACATGCAAATCAAAAGAGGTTCTACAAGACGAAGTGCAAGATACCATAATTCTGTGAGAGCAATCCTACAGAAAAGGTCTTGAGGGTTCTGGTGGTGGATTAAACGCAATACTTCAAGAAACAATAGCTAAAAAGAACACACTATTTCAAGTCTACTCTTACATCTGCAGTGTTAAAAGGTTCAAGATCTATTTCATTATAGAGTTCCTTTACTAACCAAAGCTGCAAATTTCTTGGTTTAGAAGTTGTGAAAGATTCTTCAAAAGGCCACGAATAGTAGTTACTAACAATTACTTAAAAGTATGTGCTAACTAGCTATAACAACTGGAATGGATAATTATTATTAAGTCAAATAAGTTTAGACTTAAATATTTACATCCTCTAACTCCATATAGACTTCTCTTCCACCTGTTCACTACCCAAGTATTTTATCCTGTTTTATCATGCTGCTTGTGAGTACATAATTCAGAATTTTCCTGGCAGAACAATAAACATGCACAAAACTATACACATTGAGAAGCCAATAGAGGAAATCCATGGGGAACTATGATAACTGAAATATTCTTTATAATAGGCACATTTGAATCACATAGTTACACTTCCATATAAGTTAATTTTGTTGGAGTAAGTAGAAACATAATTCTGAAGCTTGGCAACAGAATACGGAATCTTGATTT